TGTGCGCCGAGGAACAGTCCCACCAAGGAAGCAGCCGGCCCAGTGGAAAAAAGATGCCAGAAACCGCCGAGAAGGGAGAAAAAGCTGAGCCAGAAAAAGATGCAGCGGGCCCACCACAGGGTGCTGGTAGGAAATCCCCACCCTATAGCATGTGGCCTTAGTTAGGGTAAATAGTTCCTAGAACACTCCTGTAAACCGCCCAGAGACCCCTAGGGGTTAGGGTGGTATAATAAGTCGAATAAATAAATAAATATAAATAAATAGTAAAACGTCTCTTCCTAGAACATGGAGAAAATCCTTCCTGTGGTTCTCTCCAGCAGCTGTAGCACGGTGCATTGTAAGGAAGACCTGGTGCCGTTATTTTGCCGTAGGACTGGATCCAGAGTTTCCCTAGAGTGTTGCACGAGACAAGTGAAACTAAATCTAAAAACATTCTTCAGTACACACAGCCATCTTGTGCAAGTGTGAGAAAGTGCTGCAGAGCTACCTGTGAAGGCACGGCACGTGATAGCAACACATACTCTCGTGCAACAGCCTGTTTTCTTTATTATCATGGTTCTTTTGATCGATCCTGCTATGCTTGGGTGATTGCGCTTATGTGCACAGGGGCATCAGATTTAGAAACCTTGCAGTAGTGGTGGCCAGCAATAGCAGGAGCATGGAGAATGGATTGAAATGGCTTTGCAGCCCCATCACTGAGGGGAGGGGTGAGGCAGGGGCCAAAGGCAAAGAGGCCCTCCATATCTGACCACATGTTAATCCCATTTACACTTCAGTTGAAATAATACACCCACACTCAAAGTTTCAGAGAAATGTGGAATAAAATTGGCCACAACTTCATTGGTTACAGCTGTAGTCTGCCTTGGCACAGCATGGGATACCGGTTCCAATTCATCGACTGACCCACCTGCCAGTCCATGATCCACTGGTAAACTTGGAATGACAGGTCTCTGGATCCCACAATGGCGGATGCCCCAAGGTGGTCTCCCCTGCCACCTGTGCATGAGGGTAATCCCTGGCCATGCCCTCGGGCTGGGCATACCACTTGACCCTCACGTCAAGATCCCTCACGAGGATCCCCAGCTCAGGAAAATGGGCACACGGGCCGGCTTTCCTGATAATGGAACTGGCCCCATGCTGATACTGCCAAGTTGTGACAAAGAAAATAATGAAACAAGCCCACGTGCAAATCCCTTCGAACGATGCCATGTCGCTCAACACCGGAAAGATGGCAAGAGGGGTGGTGCTGTGCCTTTAGTAACAGTCAGTGCACCCCCATCCCCCAAACACCCAAGACCCTCTGATAGGGCCAGCATCAGGTCATGCGGGCGCGAGCTTCCTGTGCTTGCTGCTGGCCCGCCCCCTCTGCGGATTGCCTCTCTGCCCCTCCCTCCCCCCTCCATACGGTTCGGCAAACAGGGCTCCGGGTGACTCAGGGCCCCAGCTTATAAGAAACACAAATTGCATTCCCCACCCCTCCACCCCAAATGTATGGAACTAGTTGTGTAGTTGTTATGCTGAACCTGTGCTTTCTCTGGTAACTTATTTTCACACCACTGATTTCGCCTTCTCTCGTACTGCCACATATTCTTTGGCATTTCCTATAGAGCCAACCTTCATTTCTGTTAACTATTTCCCCCCTAATGAGGATCTCCACACTCCCCTCAACATACAAAGTAAAGAAATAACACTGACTCACTTAAGATCCACAGAAGGAAGAGGTCTCCCCCTCCCATTCAGCTGCCACTCACCTGAGCAATACCTTCCTTTAAACAGTCCCTTTAAACAGATTCTTCAAACAAAAATGCTTGTTCATTTATCTGATCTTTTTGTGTTCTCTTGCAGGCAGAAGCATTTCCTTACTTCTGCGTCTCTGAAATGCAAGGGCAGGAAGGCACGGGTGAGGAGGTAAGCGATTTCCTTTGCAGGATATTTAAAATAATGCTACTGCGTTTTATTTTCTCTTTCGTAATCTTATTCATAAAAATGACAGAAAGGAAGCAAGCAGACAGGCAGTTTCCCTTTTCTGTTACTGACAAGCGAAGGGGATGATTAACGAGAGTTGTAGACAATGTACAAGTAAGGGGGAGGGCTACAGAAGTTAAACAAAAGTGCCTTCAAGAATTTAGAGTATTCCCAGGGATCTATAGTAGAACCTCATTGTGCCCGTCTACTGTTTCTATTTTTGATTAGATTTATAAACACAGCACCACGTATTTTCATGTGGTTTTGTAGCCCAGGGGCAGAAAGAGATTGACTGCACTGAAACTGTGAGGCTTGTGAATTTCGGGCAGGGGATGGAGTGAAATAAGTAGCGTAATTGTTTTTGTGGAGTGACCGTGGGACCTCCTCTGTTATGAATTACACATGGTTCAACCCTTTGACCTAACCAACCTCGGCAGTGCCTGGTAGATCTCCTAAAGCTGTGCTGAAAGGTCCTATCAGTGTCTTGTTGGAACATTATCTGTCATGTGAGAAGTGTGCCAACAACCATATTAAACTACATTAATTACTGCAGAGGCCCCCAATTTGTGACAGTCTCAACTTCATTTCACCCATTGTCATGTTGTTTACTGTGTAAAAAGAAATGGGAACAATTTGTCGAATGGAAATATTATGATAGTATTTTACTTTATATTGTATTTGTTATGTTAGTTGTGTCATGCTGATTAACTCCCTCCCCCTTTTTTCTTTTTCACTGGTGATTTCTTTAAACTTACAGAACTTGTTTTAAAAAGCAAACACCAGCATTCTGTTTCTTAAAACTTAAAGAACAGGACAAGAATATCTTAATGTTATAGTGATATAGGCTATATATTCAGTCCCCTGTTTCTTTATGGGGGGGGGGAAGCCAGTTTTAAAAAATTATATGTTTTCACAATAAAAGTTCATAATTACTGTTTCTTTGGAAGTGTTTAAAAATGTCTGTTCTCTTAAGACGTTGTGGTAAAAGATGCCATTTTATTCCTTCGACTCTTCCAAGAGTTCACATGAACTCTTGCTCTTTCGAAAAAGCCAACAGGGCTACAGTGCCTGTGTTCAAGACCTTTAGAATGAGAACTCACCTAAACGTTGCGCATGGCCTGAGTTGGGTTGGGGACCCTCAGACCCAACTTGCGATATGCAAAACATCAGAGAACTTCATTCCCAAGTGCTGCAGGGCCAGTTTATGCTCATGAACACAGTTTGTGTGTGTGTGTCTCTGTGTGTATTTAGCCTTCCCTCCCATGCCATTTTTGCAAGCCAAATGAATTGTGGAAGGCGAGCCGTTTGCTCTGTGCAAAGTTTATACAGAGGAGAAATTTGGACGTGTCGTTTTATTAATACTATTTATTCATTCACTTAGGACATACGTGCTGCCTTTCCGAGACCTGTTTGTTTTAAATGCTTTTGGTTTCACAATGTACATATTGGACTTTACAGGCACATGTGTAATACATTACCTATATCCTTTGATTATACTGATGGAATAATCAGTTTTTATTTAAGGTTTTGCCTATCTATTCAGAGTTATAATTTTAAAAAAAAGATAGCTATTTTTCACTATTGAAAATGCTAGGAAACCAGCTACCCAAAAAGACAAGGAAACAAAACCAGCTCCCTTTGACTTCACCAAGTGTCATTCTCATTAGCAGTAAAGAGTTTTCTCCCCTTAAAGCAGACAGGTGCAAATTGCAAGCTGTTTCACTTTGGCTGTTGCTGCTTAACTAGATGGAGCAATGAAGCAGGGACTGGCACAGCGATGGGAGTTCTGGCTCTGCCTACATAAAGAAAAGCCTTGACCGGTCAGCTGATTGCAAGCATTTAATACTGCAGAAATACAAAATTATACAAATGGAGGGATATGTATATATATAAATACATATAGTAAGAGAGAGTGGAGTAAAACTTTGAGCATTTGATGCAAGACGAGTGAACTGGAAACAGGGCTCTGTTTTATGTTTAAAGGCTAATGCTTTAACTGAAGTGAATGAAAACAGAAGCCAACGTACCTGTTCCTGTTTACTGTCATTACACTCCTTAGAGTATTTCAGGCATTATTAGGTTCTTGGATTCCTACCAGATTGACAATATTTCCAGCTACTGCTTCACTTTTGGCTACATTCAGACACGATCCCAAAGGGGGGGAGAGAATCACAGCCGAGTCTGCCGAGCTCGCCCGCCGACGTTCAAAACCGCTGTTCATTTTAGGGACACCTAATTTAATTTCACGAAAGAGACACGGCATGCCAGCCTGCGTCTAAATCTAAGGTATGCATTTCCTAAAAGGGACTAAAACTCTGTCATTCCAAAGTCGCTCTTCGTTTTCAGTTCCAGCCCGCGTGGGGACTGCTGTCTGGAAGGGGTAACTTTAACTCGAACTCCCAGCCTGCTGATGAGGTCTGTCTGTGTGATCTTCGCTGAGCAGATAAGGGTAGGGAGACAGCTCAGAGCACAGCTTGTTTACAGCGGGACAGGAGAAAACAGCCAGACGCAAATGCGTGCTGACGGTTTCATGAAGCACAATCGGTTGATTGCAGATTCAATCTGACTGCCCTGAACTGAGCGATGATCCGTACAGTATGCAAAATTCACTTTCTTGCTGGTCTGTGCCCACCAGCCTTGCAGCAGCTCCGGCACAACCCCTGAGCCACGGCTGTGAGTGGAACCAGAACTGAACACGGCTTTGTTGTACCCAATTCCTTCTGACAACAATCACATTCTTTTAAAAACTTCATGGGTTTTAGTTGTCACTGGTTATAAATGCAGGGTTTTTTCCCCCCTCTTTTTTTTTTTTGCTGCTGCTTCCGCTGCACCACTGGCTGTTTGCACATAGACATGATTACCATATTCTAGCACTGATCTATGAAAGCATGTCTGCTCCTTGTAGTGACATAACATCCCCAAGTGAAAAGACATTTAATGGTTTCCTTTGCTATTTAAACTGTGTGAGATAGGGGGTTCACCTTTCAGAAGGATTCATTGGTCTTGGGTTTGTTTTTTTAAAAAAAGTCATCATAACATTAGACCATAAGGATGTAACGCCATGAGTCACCACGTCCTCCTTTAAAATATGCACTGTTAATTTATGGCGGTAGCCGAGTCTGCCGAGCTCGCCCGCCGACGTTCAAAACCGCTGTTCATTTTAGGGACACCTAATTTAATTTCACGAAAGAGACACGGCATGCCAGCCTGCGTCTAAATCTAAGGTATGCATTTCCTAAAAGGGACTAAAACTCTGTCATTCCAAAGTCGCTCTTCGTTTTCAGTTCCAGCCCGCGTGGGGACTGCTGTCTGGAAGGGGTAACTTTAACTCGAACTCCCAGCCTGCTGATGAGGTCTGTCTGTGTGATCTTCGCTGAGCAGATAAGGGTAGGGAGACAGCTCAGAGCACAGCTTGTTTACAGCGGGACAGGAGAAAACAGCCAGACGCAAATGCGTGCTGACGGTTTCATGAAGCACAATCGGTTGATTGCAGATTCAATCTGACTGCCCTGAACTGAGCGATGATCCGTACAGTATGCAAAATTCACTTTCTTGCTGGTCTGTGCCCACCAGCCTTGCAGCAGCTCCGGCACAACCCCTGAGCCACGGCTGTGAGTGGAACCAGAACTGAACACGGCTTTGTTGTACCCAATTCCTTCTGACAACAATCACATTCTTTTAAAAACTTCATGGGTTTTAGTTGTCACTGGTTATAAATGCAGGGGTTTTTCCCCCCTCTTTTTTTTTGCTGCTGCTTCCGCTGCACCACTGGCTGTTTGCACATAGACATGATTACCATATTCTAGCACTGATCTATGAAAGCATGTCTGCTCCTTGTAGTGACATAACATCCCCAAGTGAAAAGACATTTAATGGTTTCCTTTGCTATTTAAACTGTGTGAGATAGGGGGTTCACCTTTCAGAAGGATTCATTGGTCTTGGGTTTGTTTTTTTAAAAAAAGTCATCATAACATTAGACCATAAGGATGTAACGCCATGAGTCACCACGTCCTCCTTTAAAATATGCACTGTTAATTTATGGCGGTAAAATGGAAATCGCCATTAACATTGCATTTTATCAATTCAGCTTGAAGTCATACAGCTTGGGGGAGACCTCAAGGGTCACAGGATCTGCCTCTCTCCCACAAAGCAGCCACCGGTATTCCTTAGGCTAAAGCTCATTTTAAAAAAATTGTTGAATCAGGTCTCGGCAAGAGGCCAGAGGTCACCAAGCCGAAGCCCTCCACTTCTGCGGCCATCATCTCTCCCTCCTCCCTCATCAATAAATCCACAAACAGATCAGAAGCTCACAGAGTTCCCCAAACCAAGCATGTGGCTGGAGAGCAGTGTTCCCTCTAAACTGAGTTAGTGTGAGCTAGCTCACAGTTTTTTTTAGCCTCCAGCCTCCAGCTCACAGATTTTTGACTTAGCTCAGGAAGGAGGGCTCCAGAGCAAACTAATTTCATCAGTAGCCAAATCGCCCACTCACAACTCTTATGCTAGTAGCTCACAATGTAGAATTTTTGCTCACAAGTTTCCATAGCTTAGAGGGAACAAGAGCTCAGGGAACATGCCAGATACGTCAAAAAAAAACATAACAAAACCCCAACCAGAGTCGGTAGCCAGTCTGGCCCAAAGAAAAGGCCCAGGGCATAGAAGGAAGACCAGAGTGTAGCATGAATATTTCATACCTGTGGGATGATGGGGGCTTGCATACTGACACTGAACACAAGGAGGTATGCTGGCTGTTTCTAACATTCGTTGTATTTGTAATGATTCCTTTATTCAGAGTCCCGCTGACTCCTACAGAAAGCAGGCTAGGCTGCTTGCAAGAGGGTAGGGTTGCCAGCTTCCAGGGGGTGGCTGGAGATCTCCTGCTATTACAACTGATCTCCGGGCGACAGAGACCAGTTTACCTGGAGAAGATGAACTCTTGAAACAGG